ATGCTAATGCCATTTCCCAGTGATCTCCTATTTCACATGCACTGATGGCTGCATTGTAGGAGATGGTCGTTGCTTCCAAACGTATTTCCCGCAGCTCCTTCAGCAAGTGCAACCCCTGTTGCCACGCCTCTCCACCTGCACCGCAGGCACTGATGGCGGCATTGTAGCTCACCACCGAAGGCTGCAAACGTCTCACCTGTAGGTCCTCCAGTAGGGCCACTGCCCGTGGCCATTGAGTCCCTTTCTCACATGCGCTGATGGCAGCGTTGAAGATGATGACATCCGCTCGAAGCGTCAACTTCTCCAGGCCGTGCAGGATCCATAATGCAGCTTCCCACTGGCCGGCTTTCTCACAAGCACTCATGGTGGCACTGTAGGTGATGAGGTTCTCTTCCAGGGAATGCTGCTGTAGATCCTGCAAGGGCGAACAAAGACAAGTCAGAGAGAAGAAACAAATGGTTGACACATACAGTAGGTAAAAATAGTGAAGGTGGCCACAACAGCAAAATCAATGTATAGAATCTCCTGAACCTGCTCAACCCGAACATGCGTAGGATCTGGTGTCCTCCAATAAAGCCAAGGCTGCCTGCCACTTTCCATCCTTCTCACAGCAAGCGATTGCTGCTGCACAAGTGATCTCGTTGGCCTCTACAGCATTGGTGGATAGTTCCTTGAGGATCTGCAATGATAACTGCCAAAAGTAGGCCTTCCCACAAGCGTTCATGCTTGACGTAAAACTCACAACATCAGGAGCCAGCCTTTGTTGATGCATGTGCTGCAGCAAACTCAGTGTGGCATCCCAAAGGCTTTCCCGTGCGCAAGCGCTGATGGCCTTGTTGTACACAATCACATCAGCCTCCAGCTTCCGTTGATCCAGTTGCATTAAGAGTGCTAAGGCCACTGGCCAACAGACAGCTTTACCACATGCCCCAAGCACACTCGAGATCAGTCCAAGGTCCAACTGCACGCCTTCGTGGTCCAGGTTCTGAAGGATTTGAAGAGCCTCTGACCAATGGCCTTGCTTACTGAGTCGATGAACCTCCTTGGTGCGCTTCCGTAGCAGGGCACATGGGTCATCAGGCCCGCCGAAGGGGGCCATGTTTGTGAAGAGCTTCCCATTCGAGCTGGAATCCGTTGCAATAAATGCTGTGTGAAGGATGCTGCTGGTGGCAGGCAAGCACACAAGCCCCCGTAAAATGTCCCTGCAAACTCGAGTGTCTGAAACATCCTGCCTGGGTTGCTCCATCAAATCTACCAGCTCCGGCAGGGAGGGTGCCTCTCAAACTGGCTGAAAGCATCAAACTGCCAATGCAAACAATGCTCAACCATCGAAACATTGGCACAGAATTCACAAGGCGATGGCGATGAATGCTTCATGCTGAAGCCGGTACGGAAAGCAGGGTCAACAAGAGATGCCGCCGCGGCTTCTCAGCGCTAGCCTCCATACCTGCCACAGACAACGTGCTCAATTGGACATCCGCAAAATGCACAACTCGTGCACTAGACTCACTAGACTCAAAAGTTGGAGGTTCCCGACCTACACACGCCAAACGCACCAAGTCCACAGCTGCTGCTTGGCTCTCCTGTGCGGCGATGGGGTGACATGATCCTGCACTGCCTCGCTGCTTGCAGCGCCCACCTCGTCCAGTGGAAGCTGCTCAGGCAAGGCCTGCAAGACCTGCGTCCCCCTCAGCAGGAAGCCCACAGCAGCAGGCGATCCTTAGCGAGTTTCGACTGTCGGGCCTCAATCTATGGGTTTTTGGTGAGAAAATGAGGCCTCTCAAGTTGAAAATCAATGTTGCGTCTTTTTCTGCATGGTGGGAGGCCAAGGAGTGCAAGACGTGAACAGCCACGAGCCACGAACTGCGAAGTCCATGTACATCGAGCATCTGCTGGGGTGGACCGGAGCATTGCTCGCTCGGTCATAGATGACGTCGCGAATCATCAGCCTCGGATTCCACCGGCTCACAGAGCCCGGTGCCTTCGGGTGTCTTTGGGGGATATCCCGCGTCCCGCGTTGCAAGTGCTAGGAGCCCGGATCATTGGAGCCCTTGGCCCAGGATATCCCAGGATCAAGGAAATGACCAAGTGGGCTCCACTCTTTCCTCTCAACAATGTGTCTGCCTATTCGGCCTAGTTCGTTCTCGTTAATCTTTCCCAAACCCCGGGAAATCGCATCTGCCCAACCCCTAGACACCCTGTGGATTCCTGTGGCTTGCCATGTCACAAGCAGCTTGATGTTTCGGATCCGTCATTGTCACCTCCACCGAGCTGCAGCAAGCGAAGTGCTTCGCGGTTCTGTTCCAGTTGGAGCAGGGCTCGTAGCAGGGCTCGGCCTTTGGCAGACAGGAAAATTGAGAACCAAATGACTACACTGTGACTACACATCACCTCCAACTACCTGAATGCTCGCTCGAATTTGCAGCTTTGTCGCTTTGTGCGAGGATGCTCTGTCGCTGCTGCTCCTCGCACTGGTTTGAATCCCCCCTGAGAGGCCTTCCAACGACTTTCACTAAGGTTGACGGTTCGAAGTCGTAACAGCGGATCAAGATCCATCAAGACTATTCTACAATCATGATAGCAATCGACGATAGCTCGGCGACCACCGCTACCAGGTCCACCCACCAACGCAGCAAAGTTATACCCGTCCTCCTCAGCCAGTAGTGAGGCAAAGATGTTGGTGGCCGCCGGCTGCTGCCCGGAGCTACAGACCAGGCGTAGCAAGGTGTCTAAACGAGCGGCGTCCTGCAGGTGGACAGGCGATGGGGGCGAAGGGTGCTAAGGGCACTAAAGCTCTGAGGAACATCCAAATCTTGGTCACCTGCCACCGTGCCACCGTGCCTGCTATTTGCATCTATTTTATAATCACTCAAAAAGATCAAGAGCATTCAAGAGCTAGATTCAGCTAAATGCAGCATCAAAGCTATTCGACACTCACCATCCGCACTAGTTGGCAGGAGGTTGTCGTACCAAGTGCCCTCAACTGCCAATCCAATAAAAATATTAAGCTGGTATGTGCTTGCATTATTCTTTGAGTCACGTCCTCTGGGCCGCTGAAAAAGAATGTGAAAGGCCGCAACCTGGGTGCAAAACGACATCGGGACACAACCACTCACCTGGGGAAGCTGAAGTGCTGCCAAAACACAAAAACTTCTGCAGGGCATTGAAGACAAAAGTTGCCCTCTGCACATCTGGCAAGAGACCTTCGACCTGGATCAGCAAACGAAAACTCGTTTTTGACATGTCCAGCATCCCAGGCATGTCATGCCTGTGTTTGCCCTGTTGATCTCCTGCCTTCTGTAAATCCCCCAGGCGCTTGTCGAACAGCTCTCTCTGCGAATTTCGCTGTTCGCGGCGGCATCGGAAGCGACGCCAAGAAGCCTCAAGTCCAAGACTCTTGATGTGCCAAGGTGGGGCTGGTCCAAAATGGACCAAATCACAGCCAAGGGCTATCAAGCAGTTTGCATGGGGGTTGTTCAATATTCCTTTCATTTTTATTTTCGCAGGACCTTCGAACCTTTCGCGACTGCAGTGGGAGCACACTCAAAAGCATACTTAAAAATTTGTCTATATACTAAAAAGTAGATGTGGTTTTTTGAACGACGCTCACATGATTGTACCCATGGCCCGTTCTCCACAGCTTTTGTGATAGTTTGATATATTTTATGTATCACTTTGGTGGGACATGAGTGGCCACCAGAAATCCACGAGGAGAACACTCTGCCATTGGGAGCGGATGAGCTCGGCAGCCCCTGCTAGGCCCCCGTACTTGGATCTTGGTGGCGGAGATGTCACGCACCCGCTTTCCTCAGAGATGTCCAGCACCATGAGAAAACCGTTTTGCGAAAGCCCTAACCCATTCACTCACTCTCACCAAACGAGAAAACACACAAAACCATCACAAGACAAACTAATCAAAGTCGTTCCGCAAACCTGCCAGACTTCACTTAAATACATACATGCCAAAAAGTTGTCCGTCAAATCCCGTTTCCTCCACCCACCTGGCCCAACGCTCCCGTTTGACACCACCAAGCATTCACCAGGCATCGCTCTCGGTCCTCGCGCTCCCGGGCCTGGCGCCGCAGGAACTCCGCGCGCGTCTCGCTGCGGCGGTTCCGGGCGCCCGCGAGGCTCACCTGGAGGCGACGTGGGACACCGCAGGACGTAAAGGTAAAAAAAATAAAAAATAATACAATATATGTATATATATATGCGATATATACATATAGGCTTTACTCTAACCTAATAGCAATGGTCTCCGAACTAAGAGCAATGGCCTCGAATGGAAGCATGTACGGTACATATGCTCATAGGTACATGCTCATAGCATACCTCATAGTAGATCCCATGGCATGATTCATAATATCTCATACATGCTCGAAGCAGGAAGTGGGATGACGCGCTCGAAGCTGGGCCATTGATCTTGATAAGATGTATTGGACTGTCAATGTAGCCTTTCCCGTCCAGAACCCAGGAACCTACAAGATTCGGCGCTCAAACCTGTGAAAAACGGATTAGAAAACCATGAAGAACCACCGCAATTTGTGATGTGGACTTCATGATGGAAAATGGAGCTCGTCTCCACGCCTTGGTCTCCGAGATGCTTCCATCAAACATGGTGGAACCATCCAGCACAAATCGTCACGAACGTAGCGAATCTGCTGTCACTATGCCATTTGAGTTACATAAGGACAAGCCTCGTAGCCACAAGTAGCTTGGGTCTGCTGGGGTGATTGACCGGTTCTACTGCTGTGCTTTTGTGGTTGCAAGTCCGGACTACTACCTCCAGGACTCTAGGGCTGCAGGCTGCAACTGAGGTAAATGAGGAGCTGCTGTTAATGTTCTATGTGTGGTGCAAGCTGAGCCACACAGACTTGTTCTGACTTGGGAACTGCTTTGTTCCTGTTCAGCTGAAAATGGCTCCAGTGCGTGAGAGATGAAGCAATCTGAAGCCGGAGCTTCTTCTCCATAAACAGTGCTAACAAACATGAGGACCGCACTGGTGGGTGGCCCAACGGCCAGCCCCAGCCCGACCGGTGCTGCTGGGGGTTGGCACCAGTACGGAGGCCTGGCGCTGTTTCTATTCCGTTTCTTCCACTGAGAATGCAATGTTTATGAAAAAGAATGATTTCACACACAGCGAACGTGCGAGCCCGCTCGCACCCAAACAGCATTCACAGCCGAACCTAGGTCCTAGGTGTTTAGATAGTGGAAACAAAACCCGTCCGAGGCAAACCATGCGGCCTCTCTTTCAGGCTCCTCCTGGCAGTGCGACGTGCACGGGAGCTCAAAATGTCCAAGCGCAACTGTGGAACACCTGCAACATCTAAACTGTGGATGTGATACGCGTCTCACTCCCATGGCCCAACCAAATAGGCAACACGACACTGGCAAACATGATGTGCATGCGTATATACAGTAGATATACAGTATAATATACTGTACATACACATGTGTGTTGTTTGATATGTATATATATATATATACACATATATATATATATATTTATATGCACAGCTACATAAGCGCAATCGCTCGACCTGGATTAGAATTGATCGACACAAGAATGTTTTAGATTCTAGATGCTTTTAGGGCCTCATCGTCCTCTGCCGCCGAGTCCTGTGTCACCAAAGCATGGCACAATGGCAGCTCAAGAATCATGTCCATCTTGGAACTGTCCTCCTCTTCTTCCTCATCCTCACCTGGTCCTCAAGACAAACAAAAACTTTTTGAGCTTTGAATCAAAAGAGTAGCTCAAACCTGACTGCTTGATCGTTCTAATTTCAAAATCCGGCGCCTTCCCCCACCAACTCCTCCAACCATGTGAGCCTTCGATGGGATCATAGGTCATGGCAACATTAACCACTTTTCAGTCAAATGTTCTTGAATCACCAGCCACTGAAGAAGCGGACAAGGCAGAAGCCACTTCCTCACCAGTGACCAGCATTTCGGGGTCTTCCGGTAGCTGCGTCGCTCTTTGACCTCACGGTGAGCCACCAGCGGCCGCGACGGGCTCGGTCGCTGCGCGACCGACCGCTGACCGCTGGGTGTCCGGGCGCCAGAAGTCTTGCCCCTCCAAGCCGGTGAGCTCAATGGTGCGGTCCATGAAATATCTCACCAACAGGGCCGCAGCCAATTCCAAATGGAAGCTTCTGAAAAAAGAAATGCTTGAAGCCGAACATCTTTAGCTTTTGTTGAGCTGAAACGAACCAAATTCACGATACTTATTTGTGATGTTTGGTTTGATGGTGGACATTGTAGAATTCAAAACTGCATGCTAGGTTTATAAATGTGATCTCAGCCTCAGCTCGCGCACACTGAAGGAAGAGCGGCCCTGGGAGATCTGCCGTGCTGCCATATCCAGCAAGCAAGTCCGCAGAAAGCCTCAGCTGTTGGGATCTAATTATATAAGGGGCTCAATCCTGGAGGATTCATCACATTTCATGAGCAATCCTCCCTTGCAGCATGAGACTGCCGTGCGACATGCTTGGTGCAAAATGATGTCAAACGCCGAGTAGCGAAAGCCTGCGATGGCTTCCTTCTGTGCCGGCGTCAGCGCGTAGGTTCGCATGGTGCCCCGGGCACGGAGGATCTCCTGCGATGGATGTGATGGACTTGATCCACCTACCCTAGTAGCAATGGCCGCCGTAAAATTCAAAGCTGGCGATGCAAAGTGCCCAATGAAAACAAACAAATAACATCAGGAGACTGTGTTCAAACACTGTCCTCCATTCCTTTCCAGAACTGCAGAAAGCCAACCACCCCGTCGGCGTCCGGTTGCATGTAGGTTTGCCTGAGTTTGCAAATCATGACTTTAGCACAAGTCGGTGTCAAGGCCATGGATCATTGGTGTCATATCGATGGCTGAGTCGAAAGCAGGATCTCGTCTGCAGAGTTTTGACCAAAGTCTCCTAAATGGCCCTCCAACTCGCGTTCGAGCACGACCTGGGAGATTCTATTTGCTGACAAGTTGGCACAGGGCAATGAGGCTGGTAGCAGTTCCCAGCCTTCAGCACGTCCACCGGGATTGCACCATCTCCACCAACCTGACATTGCACTATCTCTGGTGCAACTCTTCTACCTTCCTTTGAGCCAGTTGGGTGCCACCTGCTCTTCGCACTGTCTCACACGGCACTGCTGTCCCAAAACAGAACCAGGAACAAGCTTGCGACCCTCCCGTTGCATTTTCAGAAACCCCCGGTTCATATCATGGGTTCCCGAAAGTAAAAAGCACCTGCGGGCCAAGGCCGGCTGGCACACAAAGACGCCAAAGGGCGATGATGGCGCGTGTGGAGTCCATGGCGTCAAGCTGTCAGACTTTCAGAAGAGTGACACGAAAACCTCGCCCCCAATCGCGGGGGCGGTGTGTAGAACTCGTACATATGCATGAGAATGTCGGAATGCCTATAGTGTGATTGCACTTTCTTGATAATGATGTGCTCCAGCATCTTGGAGCTTAGTTGGGAACAATCATAATATGTGGCTCCTCTACATGTATGCACATAAGTAAAGAAATGTGCATCTGTGTATGTATATATATATATTTATTTATTTATACGTATATAATATATATATAATACAACAAAATGAATAGCTTGAGTGGTCGGTCCAGTGTAGATGGATGTTCTTCTCGGCGTGCCTTGGGGATATATACTGTACATATATAGAGGGTTATCTATGGTTATCTGCATCCAGAGACGCTCATGCTCCTCGGCCCATTTTCTCAGGAATGGAGGGCTCTCAGCTGACATGCAGGTGAGACTCACCGGGTACACCAAACACAATCTTGAGCCTAAATAACTGCAACGTGACACAACAACCACAGCAGTGTCTACAGTGGAAGGCTCTTTGGCACTTATATCGAGCGAGGGCGCCATGATATGCCATGAATTTTGGTACACGCCCTCATGCACAGGTTACCTAAAATGGTCAGTTCAACGGTTTCGTTGCAGGTCTTGAAAGCGAACCGAATCAATCTACAGTATGCTTCCTGCTTCCTAGCCTACAAATCCACAAATGACGTGATCTTTCGCTTGTCTCAATACCAAGACTCGTGGGTCATTTTTGCAGCTGGTCCAGGAAAGCCCTGCTAGCTGGAGGAGGTCGATTAGAAGGGCTCGGAATAGGCATCTTTCTGCTCTACGTGTTGAGAGTGAGTGGCAAAGGTGGCATTGTCACATCATGGAAGCGATGCTTCAAGCTGGCCTGGACCTGCAGAGGCCTCAAAGACGTGCTGGAAGCCTTCTCTCACTACTGCCTTTGCTGCAGTCGTGCTTTTGCTAGGCGAGCGGATCCTGCTGTTCATGTTCATGCTTTTAAGAAGCATGATGGACTACGACAGGCACGTTCATGCAGTATGTTTCTGGACGGCAGTGACGGCAGTGTGAGTTTTGTCTCAAGCTCCATTCACAGCCCACTGACTTGCTGAATCATGTGCAACGACTGGCGGCGTGTCGTGCTCTCTACAGGCGGCATGGACTGATTGTGTTCACAGAGCTAGTGACGGCCTTCATTTGCTTGAGCTTCTGAGGACGGTCCGGCACTCTTTCTTCCTCTACCATGACGAGATTGGTGCCTGTTTTCGATTGTGGCTCGGTGTGATTTCAGGCGATGAAACATTGCCATTATCCTCACTTGTGGTCTTTGCAGGTCTTTGCTTCAAGAAGGCTTCTGGTGAGTGGTTTCTGGGCAGTGATGTTCCGGTTGCAGTTGAAGCTGATACATTTATATACTCCCTTGTTTGCGCATGAGGCACTTGGTTTGACTGTTTTCAGGGTCTCGCTCCCAGCTGCAGTACAGTATGCATCAATAGTTTTCGCTCAGCAAGACGGGCGAATGACTTTGAACACCATGCTTTTTTCTATGATCTACATTGGGGCAATCGTGCTGAGACGTTTCCTCTTTAGCACGAGCGTTGAAATCTGGAGTGCGGAGGGACTTCCTCGTAGACATGGTCCCGCGAGGGAGGTTGACTCATCTAGAACAGGTGTGCGACCGCTTCACAGCCGTGCACGTCCACTTGGATTGCCGTAGGCTGATTACGCCTCGATTGGCGATCTCCTGCTTGGGGTCTCTTTTCGACTAGAGCTACTGCGATCATCGAAAATCCTTCACAGCCAGAACACCATTTTGAGTACCCTTCCATTTGGCTCCTGGATCTGGTCAAGACCTTCCTGCGGTTTGTTGGATGCCAGAGAGTCCGCATACAGCAGAGTCATTTTGGCGCGGTCTCGGCTAAGCCGATTGACTTTTTGGTTGCCAATGCGCCTGAGGCGGTTGAACGTCTTTGGAAAGGTCGCACCACTTCTTTGCCTGAAGTAGCTTCTTGTTCCCAGTAATTAGTATGGCCAGGAGCTACTAGTAGCTTCTTGTTACTAGGCCCTTGCTGCTATAGTAGCGATGCCCTTTGGCACTTGTAGCCTCTTGTTCCTAGTGCACGAGCATTGGACGTGATGAACATGGTCGCCTGAAAGGATATCCGGGCGACCTCTGCCGGGTCCTGGCGGAGATCTTTGTGGCAGCACAGTCTCCTTCAGATGATGCCCGGGCCTGTTCCGGCATTGTTTGATGAGGCTGCTACTCTTCTTGTTGGACAATTTGATCTTTCTGTTGCGATGGGTCCTGATTTCTGTTCTGAAGCGAGGCAGGCTGCTGCCTTGCCAATTTGTAATTAATGCATGCACGAGTCACAAGCGTATCGCTTTTGGCGCAGGTATGTAAGAGAAAGAGGATTCACATGAATATACATACATGTGTGTATACCACAGGCGTCCTCAACAAATTTTACATCTCGTCTTCAAAATGATCTCCTTTGCAAAGCACCTGCAATAAAACATCGCCTGTGACAAGAGAACGCACAACAAGTCAACAAGTCAGTCACCCAATCCATCCAGTCGCGTGTCTCAACGACCCTTCGGCGTTTTTTCACCTCCTTCGGCGTCTCTTGGGTCGGGCTCTGCTTTGCTTTCCGTGGAACACTCCGTGGAAGTGTCCTTGTCCATCCAGGCCTGGCCGATCTGGGAGCAAATCGACTCTAGAACTACAAGACTGACTATGAACTCTATGAATGCTATGGTTGTTGCAGCATCCAACCACTCACCCGCGTGGGTTGCAACGACAACCGAATGTCGAGTGGCAAGGACTTGGCATTGAAAAGTGAATCTTCAGGGCTTTGTCCGACACACTGGGCCCATCTCGCGGCCTTCCTCCTCAGTCCCCCTGCAGCTCCCGGAAATGCCTGCACTATTGCTCCACTGATGCTCCTCAGCATTGCCCGGAGCAGGATTTGTTGGACATGCTCCTCTGGCGATGTATATCCTGATGTATCCGTTTCTGATATTTGATTTTAAGAATTGTTATCACTCGCCCTGCCAACTTTTGATCCTCCTCCCGCATCCGTTCTGAATTCAGCTTCGCGACGGCCCAACTTGTCTCATGATCTGCACAGCGTCACGGATATGTTCCTCAGTACAGCAGCCGCCGATGCCGCAGGAGAGGCACGAACTGCGCAAATGTGCACACAGGGTCAGCCATCTTTCGGTGGGCCCATCTATAGTGATCCTTGGAGATTTGTCTTCAATAAGCAATGGTCTGCTAAGGGCGAGGGATGGCCTCCAACCCAATAGCAATAGCCTCCAACCTAGCAAAAAAAAATGTAAACATGCCACGAGTAACCCCTTCCTCTTGCTGATGCCAGGGCCCCGTCGTAAGATGGCTGTTCGATGACCTTTGTAATTCCCTGCGACTTGTTGGCCTGGCTGGACCATCTTGAAACGGCTGACATTATGGGATCAGTTGGGGAACGGCTCGGCATGCATGTTGCATTTGATTGAGCCAATTGACTAGGGCCTAGGGCTAGTGACTAGTGTCCCAGTCCAAATCGCGTTGGAATGCGATAAAAACTAGTAACTAGAAGTATATAGTTTCATAAAGGCTCAAACATATTCCAGAACACCAATTTTAAGTAAGAAAAAAGATGAAAAAAGTAAAACAATATGGTGTTCTGCATACATTTCTCCACATCAAATTTACAATAGCAATTCCTTTACAAACTTTGATGTGGATCATTCATGGGTCATCCTATCCCCTTTCAATTAATAAGACATAACAATTAGGATGACCCCAGCCATGCATCCACACATCTGCTGCCATCAATACCTGCAAAGCTTTTCTGACATTCTATGCCACTTTCCACACATCGGCTTGTAGTGGACGCTCTATGTTCACCTTACGAACATTTACCAACAAACTTCTTTGGTTTGGCTGGCCGTACTCGAAACCCTGACTGCTGGTACTTGACTCTGTTGGCTTGTTTCCGTATTGCACCTCCAACCCCCTTCCATCTCGGCAACGCGCCTGGTTGCGGAAGAATTGCACAGCCTGAATAGCACTTTGAGCTGATGCCTCAGTCAGTTTGGCCGCTGTAGTTCAAGGCTTGGAGCTTGCAGACAGTGGCGGGCGCATGTCACTTTGTCGTCATGCCAATCAATCTTATAATCCAGACATGGACGCTGATGGATTCGTGCAGACCTGCAATCCTCACTGTGCCATCAGCTGTTGATTTCCAACATTTCAAGATTCTGTGTAGGAGGAGAAGCAGGTCAGCCATCAATCCTCTGATCTTTGCTACACTTTCCATCACCGACATTTCTTGTCCTTCAATCTCCGCAGCGAAAGGACATCTCACCGAAATTGGAAATGTCTCAAATGGATAGATCGATGCCTGGTTCCGCATAAGCAGCTCCACCTCTAGCCAAAGCTCCACCACCTTGCTTTAAGCGGCAAACGGATGCAGTTTGACGCCGTTCATGCAAGGTGAACATTGTGATTGACAGCTTGAGTGCTTGAGTCTTGAGTTATCCTTCTCTGCATTCAGACAGGGCAAAAGTTGGAGAAGTTGCAACACTCTTGCCACTTGATTGCGCAAGACCGAAAGATCAAAATGATAGTGCCGATCTGGTCAAGCTGCTAACAAAGTGCAATATGTAATAATCTTTCAAAGCTGACTCGAATCCCTGACTCGCCCTGGTTGCCCTCAGCTTCAGCCTGCAGGTTGCTGGAGGAGACATTGGACATAGCTTCCAGCCTTGGCCATGCTGCAAGCTGATTGTGCTTTCTCGCATGCTTCTGACAGACTGGTATGATTTTGGGCTGTCCATAGCTGACCCCACTTTGAGCAGCCATGCATGAGCTTGGGTCCGTCCAAGTCATCCATGACGGGCACGTGCAGCTTCTGATAGATCCTGCCCATGGAATTTCGACAATGCAAAATGCAGGCCGAAAATCAACACTGCACTCGAATTCCAGAAGACTTCGAATAGTGCAACGTGACTGAATGTGAGTAGAGCCCACAACTTGCTGGAGGTGAGTTTCTGTGGACGGTTGATTTCGGTGGGGCATAGCACATCCTGGTTTCAGGCCCAGCCAACTCCTTGGATAAACTTCATGTGCTAGCAACTGAACCAGCTGAGCCTTGGAGCAAGTCAAGTGCTGGGCTTTATGAAGAGCATCCAATGGATGGGATGCTTGTCTGGGTGGGGCAAAGGTCTACATTGTCTACATGGTCAGGAGTGTCCAGATTCCTGTTGCGTTCCCAGTCTCGGAAGCTCCAAGCGAGGTGACCAGTAGATTCAGTAGGTGTGAAAGTATGACCATATACTTTGTATGCACCACTTGGCACGACGAGGTGAGGACAAAGGATGCCTGAGTCTTGGCGCTTCAGGGACTTTTTGAGCTACCTACCGGCCGACTTGATGTCGGATTGCTTGGGCCTTTGGTGGTACTGGAGGGTGGAGAAGAACGCGGAGGAGGACAAGGAAAACGGAAATCCCCATGAACAGGCCCGGTCATTCCACTGGGCGCCGGGCTCTGTAGTCGTGACCACTGCCTTTGGCACTGGCTTCAAACTCGTCCAAGCGCTTCTGATTCTCTGGATTCTTGAAAAATGACCTGGCTGCGTGGCTCACAGTTTCCATGGGTTCCGGGGCTCGTTGATTCGGAGAAGAACTAAGCCAACCTGAAAAACCTAAAATCGAAAGGACCATAAAGGAACGCAAGTGAATATAATTATGCTGTTCAGAGTTCGCTGTCTGCAAATACAACTCTGTACAGTGTGCTAGGGGTGTTCGGGTGTTCAAGCAATCTTTAAGCCTATGGTCACACAGTTTGCAATGGGAAAAAGAAGCGCAACTTCTGGGCTGCTGCCCGCTGACTACGTGACTAGCACTGCACCCGGCTTCCACCCATCGCAGCGAAGCAGTCAGCGTACCGCATGAAGCGGAGAACGATAGCACATTGCTCATCCGTAAAGCGCCTGAAGTGTGATCAGCCATGCCAGGACTTCGAATTCAAGTGCACAGTAATACCCTTTTTTGCCTTTCAAACTGCACAGGGCCTTTTGAACCTGAGACTTACGACAGGGATGGCTGGGGTCCAACATTCAACCTGGCACCCGTCCCATAAAGGTTTCAGTACTAGTGGGTGATCTCGGATGTCATGTCCGGAATTTTGTGCAACCATTTTTCTTCCTACAGTAAATTGCGAGGCTGTGTGAAATTGCACAGAACGTCGAGGTTTTCTATTTTAAGCCGTCAACGAATGGCTTTTGCAAGATCAGTCACGAAGAAAGGCTCTAAAGCCCATCCGTCTGGTCAAAAGCCTTCCCCTCATCAATCCCCTTGGTCGTGCAGAATCTGCAGCTGTGGGACATGTAGAAGCTTCGAGGCCCTCGAAAGTCGGACACGGTGATCTCCTCGGGCACCACGTCCTGATGCTGAGAAGTATCAGCAGGGCGTTGGTCGATGGACAAAAGCGATGATTCATGCTAGATTGCTAGAGATGATGTTGCGTTTCGCAACTGGTGTCACACATCAATTGTACAAGGACCGCTTAGGACTGCTTGTTATCTCTTGACGTGGACCACGTTGCAAGATTGAGATGCAGGCTGTTTCTTGCATCACCTGGATGTCACGCCCTTGGCGCTGGCAAAGCACTCGCGCCTGGAATATGCAGCAAGGAACCCGTACAATGCTTGTTTTGTACTACATGGAGGCCGTGAACGACACTTGATTGATCAAGATCAAGCCTGATTCAATGACTGCAATTATCAATAATGTAAAATCAGCATGGCCATGTATACTGTTTACAAGTGCGATTCCCTTGAAAATGCTGCGGGTGCAAGTTGAACTTCAATATTCCTAATGCAATCTAACGCATGGCTTTGCCATGCACCCCCTTCACACATGTTCCAAGCTCTTTGCCTTGCGACATGCCAATAGATAACTTGTCAGCCAGCCTCAGCTGGAAGGTGTCTTCCCAGCACCCATCCTGGCATAGTGAAATGTGCCAAGGACATCAAACTGCTGAGGACAGGAAACCTGAAGCAGCATTCCTGAGCAGACTGAGCTACTTGAAGAGTCAGCTAGATTCAGCTAGATAGCAAAGGAAGCAATCAAGAAATCAAATATGTAAATTGCTTCCACCTGAGCAATTGTCGACTGTTTGCTGGTCTTTGCCCATCTCTCATTCGGTACAGTGCTTCAAATCTGCCCGCAAAGAACGGGCCACCGCTGTTCAAAGCGGGCATCGGCGGGCTTAGCTGGCTAACAGTTGCACCTTTCCTCAGATTGAGCGCTCAAAAGCCGTGCAAATCGAACCGAACCCTGTTTTGATCAGCATTCAGCAATCATTTGCAAAATATATGTTATTAGATGTTGTATCGCACCAAGGCCTATCGGCTTTTCCTCACTAAATCCCAAGTTGGCGTATGTGTCGCCATGACCTTTTTCGGAGCTCTGTGCTGAGTGTCGGAAGGTAGACTCCGAAGGACTGCTTCGTGGTGAAGAACTTCTTGACGGTCGAGCTTTGGCAAGTCACCCCTGTGATGAAACCAAAGGCTGGGCAGTATTTCAGGCACTGTGCTGTGCATGACACCTTTCCGAATCTAAGCGCTGGGAAGGCTTGCAGGATTGAAGAAAGACTCACAAATGAAGGACATTAGTAAAATTAGGAGGCATTCATTCAATGATGGACAGAAGCAATCGTCCTGTCAAGCAGACCGGGTCTACCAGTCAGGATCCTAATGAGTATAATGCCAATGTCACATAGCATGGAAATGCCATCCCAAGAACGTCCGCTTGAGGCTTGCCGAATGACATGTAGGGAGACAACTATTGCTCCGAGTCAATTGTGTTGCAGCTCCGCTTCTCCTTCTATATAATTCAATTTGATGAAACTTCTACCGCAATGCAAAAGTCAAGCAATCTCATTATATATATATATATGTGCGGTTATAATATATTGTGCACATATATATATATATATAAATCAGCTGAGAGATGCACGTGTGATGAAGGACTTCTTGCTTTCCTCCATCTTGCAATCAATGTTTCAAGCGCTACCGCTACGGCTACAAGTACTGTTGCAACTACGGCAATCTTGGTTGAGCTGCAACAGCTACACCATGGCCGCGTTCAAGCAATGTTTTGGACATGTCTCGGCAGAAGTGGATTCAATGGGTGAACCATTTCAGCTCTCTCTGCAGAAGTCTCCTCCTCTGCAGCTGCGCAGGCCACCTTGTCCTCCTCCTCCCAAGTTTCCTGCAGGATATTGCAGGATTGCGACAGCACCGAGGGAAGCTCACAAATTCAATTTGTCATCACATGGAGCTGAACCAAACACCCTGGGCAACGTATGTCCTGTTTTGTTGTAAGTAGGCCGTAGGCCAGTAGGTGGCAACCAAATGCAAAAAGGCAGTTGCCAAGCTAGTAGTACAGGTCAGAACCCTGATATATATATATATATGTGGTCCACAAAAGCCTCTCCCCTATGGCCCAGGGCCTATGGCCTTGTATTTTGTAACGTCATCTACCACAGTACTTGCTTCACAAATTGCACTACGTCGCGTTTGCCAAGTGGTTTGCCTTGCAGGATAGTTGCAAATGGCCTCCCCAGTGCTAAGTCCAGCTGCAGCTGCTTGCTCAGGTGGAAGCACCTCAGCCACGAGGTGTGGTCCAGGCCAATGTGTACACAATGACTGCACCGGAGAAAAACCTACAAATCCTACACACAAATGAAACAACAGAATCCTACAGTACAAAACATCACATCCAATCTTGGCCAACAGGTGTCGACACCGAAGTCCTTCGAGCCACCACGCCCAAACGTCGTCGACGCGTGGCCCCAGTCGATCCGTGCCTGGTGCGACCGAGGTCGGAGATGTTCCGAAATGGCCCCGGAGGCCCAGGGGAAAAGGATTTAAAAGGGAGGAAAAAATGTGAGATGTGAAAATCCGCCACCTGGTTGAAGCGAACTAACTCCAACATCAAGCTGAGAAGATTTGACAAGGATCGATTCTATGGAGTTTGTCATCATTTGATGCTGCCTAAATCGCCATGGACCCGCCCTGATCTGCAAAGTTTTGTTTGCCACGTTGTTTGCTGTAGTGAACCGATTGGGCTAGGGTTGTCTCTTTGTCTCCCCTGGCTATCCCCAACTCCGAGAGCACCTCGGAGGGATTGTTGGGCCGCCTGGTGCTCACACACAGCATTTGACATTGGGGCAACATTTCAAGGAACGAAGCGACGTACTGACGTACTTTCAACACTTCAACAGGCATACATACATGAGCCTGCAGCAAGTCAGAACATGTCATCTAATGGCAAGAATGCATCATGAAGATGAAAATTTGTCTGCCGAATGCGCATGGAAGCGGGAATCAGTCATCCCCCTCGCTGGGCATATGGCCTTCGTGAGCTTGCACCATTGCTGTCCAGACTTGGTGTGTGGCTGAAGATTTTCCTCGCTTGAAAGGGAAAAGGTCCAGGCTGGAAGGTCCAAGACAGAATTGCCATCACAATGGAAGTCTCAGACATGTGGTCAATACATTTCAATGTCTCAGAATGTGAGGCGTATTCCTCCAACAAGCCTTCGCTTCAAGATCTTCAACAATTGTGACTCAGAGTTGGGTGATGTCTCATACAGTTGCAGTATACAAATAGTAGTATCCTCATCCATCCGCTCCATATGAATCAAAGGCCGGTATGTCCTTCTCACAGCAACGGTCCAAGGATATCACCATACAGTACATCGGGATGGTTGCTATGGAGTATTACGCACATATGTACGCACTCTGCTCCACACACAGCCTTCCAGGCATGTCAATGGCTGACAGCAATTCTATGCCCTATATATCATATATCATAGGTCATATACCAGATATATCATACATCACATAAATCCCTACTATATGATCTATATGCCCTAATTATGGTTCAAACATAGGGTACCCCCTGACGAGTCCACCGGGCCCCTGGGTCGGGTCGACCGCACCTCGGCACCGGGCAGCTTCGCTAGGAACGAGATGCCCAGCACATCTGCCGCAATCTGAGCAAACGGCCAACATCGGCCGCGGCCAAGGCTTCTGAAAATGTGTTCCTTTCAGTTTCGTGAACATCTATGGAGCAACATGGGCCAAGATCCACTCCACAACATCAACACGTTCCTTTTGCGTAAGAAGACCTATAAACAAGTGCTACAGTACTTCGACGGAGTGGACGGGGGACTTTGTTGTGGCAAACATGTGGCTTTTGATAATCTGTTTCCCTTGGAGGTGCCCTAACACCATCTCCGGCAAATTGACTGGATGAAGAAGACTGCGATCAGCAATTTCCACGTGGAGAGAGGAGAAAAATAATCGGACTCCAGGCCCGCTGTCCATTGCAGACCCTAAAGCAACGACTCCTTCTTCCAAACCGTTGCTTCCAATGGAGAGAGGGCCACCGAAACCCAAAAAGCAACATCCAGTGGTCACAAAGAACAAAGAACTCTGCCATTTCCTCCCATGTTGTCTTGTCAATGCTGCTTCTCCTTGCCTGGCCACGACGTTCCTCCGGGTAGATCCTGACATTATGAATGACCCAAGAATAGCAGAATAGATTCCCACGCAGACCCACATGCCCACAACCGGTGGATAACCAACCTATATAGCTTATGATCATACAATCTCCCGTTCAATTCACAGGTCAGGCGCACTTTTTCTGTGCTCCAAAGGCCACAGGTGGAGGCACTCTGTAGACCTCGGCTACAGGGAAGCTCTTGCTCCTTTCAGCCAAAACCTCTGGCTAGCCTTGTAGGCATCGCAGGGAATCCGAAGCTGATCTTCAAGAGCTTTCAACAAGTCATTGACCTCAGCGACGTTGAAGCGGGGTTGCCCCGCCGGGCAAGGCGTTGAGTTGCAAACGAAAATGCTCAGCAAGACTCTAAAAACGATCTAATCATGAATCATGCTCATAGACAGGAGTCCAGAACCAACATGATCCGAAATTGAGAGGCACGCACGAAAGCACGTACACTGTCCCTGATTCATTCCTGTAAATTTGAAATAGGTGACGGTGAAGACCAAAAAAAAAGAAGGAAAGGTCTTCTGCGGTATCCGGGCCGTCGCTTTCGGCGGGTTCTCGATGAGGTATTCGGCATGCGGCAGGTGGCATGCAACCTAGCTTATATGATGACAAAGAAGCTTGCGGATGCTTGCGGTTTATGTTGAATGAATGCCAACATGACAAGTAGGACCGCTAGGAGATCAGAACCAGTGCCCACTGTCCCGGAGTGATCATTTCAAAGCAATTAACAGAAGTTTCCTGTGTGCGCAGTTCAGGAGCCTGCCTGCTTGCTTCCGGAAGTCTTGCTGCGTCCTGTTGGAAAATCTTGGGTTGCTCGCTCCAAGCAAGTATCCATGTCTGCCCTTCCCACCTATAGCTCGAGCGAGTGCACGGCCTGCTGGACCTGCGGGGCGCGAAGGACGCTGTTTGGAGATCAAAGTCTGCGTGTTCTTGCGTTTGACCTGGTTTTGAAGGGAGTGGTGTTTGTTCTTTTGGAGAAGGGTTGCAAGTCTTTGAACTGCTTCAAGATGCCAGTATGAAGCCGAACCTATCTCCATATCACAAGAGGGCCTTGCCTTAGCATTACCTGGAGGGTACAGCTGCTCGTTGAAGCAGAGCATTGCCACTGTACCCCTGGCCTGAGGCGTGCATCCACTGGTTCAGCTCCATAATATCCAAGTCCTCGTTGGTTCAGTTCAGTCCATCTGCTGCAATTGGGGCATGGCAGGTCTTTATTGAACATCTTCACGAATCACGCAAATGAGGTGGTATTGTGTGGTATTGTGATGGGATGCCATGGGTAGATCCATGGGGCTGAGTGCACTTTTGCAAATGTTGGCGAGTGCACTTCAGTTGCCATGCGTGTTTCCATGCTGAGGCTGTGCACCATGGCTTCAGAATCTGGCACCTGAAAGAAAACACAGGTAAAGGGGCCCTATTGATCCCAATGGAAACATCTCTACGGCTTACGCGATTTGCGGTCCCTCAACTACATCTAGATAAACGTATTGGCTCCAAGAATAGTCCAACCATACAGTTTATATAATCGTAAAGAATGTTCTCCAAAAATGACACGCTCAGCACACCAGACCAATCGCAAAAAAAATGGTTCTGCTTATTATTCGCCAGACCTGCTGTGAATTGTCTTTTTTTGTTGCACTTCCAGAGTTCTGCTGAATATCGGCCCTTTCATCAAGCACACAGATCCATCTCCACCCTGTGTTTCTAGCGAGCCTCGACTAGACTCCCCTCCTCTGAAGGGACCAGTGCTGTTCCTGTCTTCAACTATGATTATTGGCCCATCAAGGTTCAGCCGCCTCCCGCACTGGAATGGAGTTGGAGGTGTTGCCTAGCAAACAAAAACAGGGAGCAGGAGCAAAGTGTTATGCGCATGGTTCTACAGGTAAGTGCAAAGATTGGTGGCCATATTCCATCCGTATTGACCCGATTGATCGCCTATCAGTCTATCAGCCATCCCGAATTGTCGTTGGAAATCAAGTCTCGTTTCCTTCCCAGCCTCCATGCTGCACATGCAGGCACATGCCGAAATCGTCCGGAACGAGGTGGACACTTCGTTCACCTCAAATCGAGCTTGGCCAAAGCTCTGAGGATCCACTTCCTCCAAAAAGTAAGAAGTGAAGGTGAGGTTTCGCCCAATTTTGTGTAGCCATGTGGCCTCTCCGGAGCTGCAGCTGCATCATCCAGTTAAAGTCCTCACAAGACCCGTAGACCAGTGGCAAAATGCTTGGAGCTCAAAAGATTAAAAAAAGAAAAACAATTGAAACGTGACCAAGTCTATGCAGCTTCAGGGCCGACAAATGACACAGCCTGACAGCTGCACTGGTGCCTGTTATATATACAGATACAGGTCTCCGCAAAATAGTAACTAGATGTAACTAGTAACTAGTACCAAAGGGGCTCCTACTTGAATGTTAATAATGGAAGTGGCCAAACAGCCAAGCCAATGGGACACTGCTCGCTATAATAGCTGCATCAGCATCATCAGCTCCTCACCAAGGTTGATGTTCCCATACCACCTGCAGCGCTGCTGAGTAGCTGCTGCATTCAGCTGCTGAACACGATCCTAATCATCCTACACAAACGGTATTCCTCTTGAATTGCGCAACGACAAAATTCAGTACCGTAGGCCGTGACTGCTCTTGAAATCTATTTAAGGCGACTTTCAGTCAACAATCACCAATCACCCAGCGATCCCCAAAACATTCCGCCCCAGAAACGCGCCGCGTGATCCCTCGGTCTCCAGGCAGGTCGAGCCCACACTGTCTTCGGTAGACATAGGAAAAACCATAGCCATAGGCCCAGCTCTTCACCTCCAAAGAAAACCCCATTGACTCTAACACAAGCAAAGTAGGCCGAGGTTTGACAAAGACTTGCAAAAGGAGAGAACTCGCAAATCTCAGTTTCACAAGCTTGGGGAAGGAAGAGGGAAAGACCTATCCTTCACGGTCCTTCACTGTTGAGTGACCACAACACAGTGAGGCCCTATGCCAAGAACATGCAGGTGCATTGTTGGGAGGACTATGTATATTGTACCTCTAAGCAGGGCCAACGAAACAAAGCACAAAGAGCTGCATGTCATCGAGCCTTGTCAGAGGTTTCATCCAGCCCCTTTGTGAGTCCCCACGCGATTGGGTCACAAAATGACCAAGTGTCGGTGTCAATGTGGTACACGTACCTGTACCATCAGGCAACTATAGTTGTCGATTTCTCTCTAGCAGTTGAGCTCTCTAATCAAACATTATCCGATATCTAGATCAGAGATTGACAAGACCTCCACCTGGCTTGAAGGACTTTCCGGTACCAACCAATGGTGACAAAAGCGGTCCACGGCCAAAATCTGCAGGTCAGTCTACATAGGGCGGGTACAACAACAACTCGGACATGTAGAGGAAGACATCGACCAAAAAATCAATATATACATACATAGTAGCAACTCTTTGGGACCTGAGCTTCTTTCATCCAAAGCTTTCACATCTTCCCTGAGGACTTACGGACAACTCTTCAGGACGTTGTGCAGGCCTTGCCAACTCAGCCAACCACCAAGCCAGCCTTCTTGTCGCAAAAGGGGCAAGAGGAGCAGTTGCGAAGTTGAAAGAGTTGAACATAAAGTGTTTGTTTAGCAGAATTGTGCCAAGGTGGGCCGGCGATCAAGGCATCTCCATTACATGGCCATCCTCCAAAGTACATAGCTTGCTTCGACAAGGCTGTGTGACCCCGGCCATGGCCCCCACTGCTGCAATGGCCACCATTGCCATCATTGAGGATACACCAATCACACTCTTGACATTCACATGCTGAATTCGTTTGAACCGTTTCCGGTGCGTTTGCAGCGCCAATCAAGGCCCTTGATCGGAACGACCAAAGGCACTACATCCTGCAAAGGCTTCATCCCCAATGTAGGTCACTGAGTCAGGGATGGCCACATTTGCCAAAGAGTGGCAGGATGCAAGATCACTGCGTGGGGGTTGATCACGCTTTCCAACAACCTGCACTCTGCAAAGGCACTATCCCCAATCTGGGTCACTGAGTCGCGGATCATCACACTTGCCAAAGTGTTGCATTGCCTGAATGCGCATTGAACAATTTCAGTTACTCTGGCGCAAGGCCTACATCTGCAGCAGGTTATTCTAGCGAGTTTTTTGTCCCAAGCTGGAACTCCTTGATCCGCTCATGACTTCGAGAACCGTCGCTTCCCCATTCAGCTGTCAAAATATGTCAAAATGACATCTGCATAGGCAAGGCATCGAAAAATCACCGTTATTATGCATGAAGATTGGGTCTTTACTCCATGACGGATCGATCCAAAGCCGCTTTAGGGAGAGACATGATAAAACAAAATAACCTGGGACAACTCTTGTCATTTTCTCGTGCTTGCAGTATTTTCGTAGATGATGAGTAACTCTCTGATTCACTGGGCGTCAAAGTGCAACAATGACCATGCAGCTTGAATGTTTGCCAACCAGTCCGAGGAAGGGGGGTCAACAAAGATCAACAAAGCGCCCAGTACATGTACAGGCGCCGTACTACTAGTAACAAGAAGCTACTAGGTTGGAGGCCATCGCTACTAGTAGCAAGGATGCTGCAATTCCCTGCCGCGCCCAGGTAGAACTTAGTCCAAGTGAACTTAGTCCAAGTGGGGTTGCCTTGGTTGTCTGGGCGCACCAGTTGGACAGCTTCACTGCAAGTGCCTCGGCATGTTGCCGCGTTCAGAATCATTGACATGTGGCAACGGGTAGATCATGAATGAAGCTGCTTCTCAGAATCCAGTTTCAATTTTTTTGGAAGATGTTCACTGTATTTTACACACGTTTGCTTGACCGATCTTGCGCATGCTACCTTCACAAAATCTTTCCAAAGGTGGCCAAACCAGCGGAGCCCGTCATGGTTTCTTACAAGTGGTGCGGAGCCCACGCAATGGCCACCCTCCAGGTGTCAAGATACTCGTCGATCTTGCAAGGCATTGACCATGGTGTCCAGATAGGATGGTGCCTGCAGTTTCCACATGATTGCTTTACACAAGCCTTGGGAGAATCAAGAGATCTAATGCGCTACACGCCATGTGGAATGCTCCACCTTTTCAAACGGGTTTTTCAAGCGCCCTCTCTCTCATCCCATTCGGGTATACGTAGAAGTTCAAGAGCCGTCGGCCGTCGGCCCCTTTTTGTCTCAAACTTGGCATGTGTAGAATGTCAGTTTGCCATCAAAATGTTTCAATGGGGGGACGCTCAAGCACGAAAATCAGCTCCCACAAATGTGATGACATAACGAGCTTCTTAGCACCAAGCCTTGACATCACCGAGCATTGAATCACTATGTCACTATTTCAGCGGATCACAGTCAATCATGCTAGAACGTTCGATGCATCCTAGAAGGCTCGATACAAATCCAACCTCTGGTGGCACGACCTCCAGGCCATCTCTGCGGATCTCCTGGGGATCTTGCATAAAGATCATCGTCATCGAAGCTGGCAATGACTTCACCAGAGGCCAAGTGCGTCCCCACGTTCCTGGCAGAAGCTACTGGTGGAAATCAAGGGCAGCGGTCAGTTTCGGCAAACGTCGAGCCATTCTTCCGCGGCCTCTTCAGCCCAATGCTAAAGTCATCACCAATTGAGCGCTGGAACTTCACGTACACCTGGCAATATGCGGTGCAGTATGCTAAGGTACTCAACTGAACGTTTGAACAGAGTGGTGACAACAAGCAAAGCACTGGGGATGTGAGGGTACAATAGGGCACCCAGAATACCTCACAAGTTGACATGGCATGATGTGAAAAAGACATGGTGGCGGTGTCAGACTGACTCCTGTGGCCTGGAAATTTCTCACATGCCAGCATGGCCACCCTGGGATCCATTTGGGCCTTCCTTGGTTGCACTCACGATCGCCCGAACCAGTCATCAGCGGCTCTGAAATGTCTTTGTCTAATGCATCCATGTTGAGGAAAACAAAATCTTGTCTGTCCTTGCAAAGGTGGAAACATGTAATATAAAGCTAGTTGGGTTCTTCAGAGTTCCGAGAGGTTGCATCGCTGAGGCCAAGCCACTGAGCAAAAAACTCTGAAGGTGAGCTAGTGTATGTCTCCACAATCACCAGCTCCTGTGCGGCAAGTGTTCACTAGTGGCAATGTCACAAAGCCTAAAAATGAACAGCGCCTCAAATCTAAATCTAAGAAGTCGAACATAAAAAGAATGCACCATGCCATGCAGGATGAATATATGAAGATACTACTGAAACCTAAAGAATGGTAAAAGCAAACGGTGTGAGCATGACTAACCTGCAATAAGGATTGCATTGTGAGCACGGCTGTGGAAGAGAGGTCTTGCAAGTGCAGAATGCGGGTTTGCACCATCCTTGTCAGGCCATGTTTGTGCGTCAAAGCACCTCACATGTCTGCTGGTGGAAAATGCAAATGTGGAAAGTGTGAACATGCAGGGTGGGCCAAGTGTAGAATAATCAAATGTGGCGGATTGAAGCTGCATGAGAAACGGTTGCACTTTCCGGAGTATCTATACAAGGCCCTCTACCAAATTAATTATCTGGATTCGAACGCCTGGCTTTAGGTAGTGGTGACTTGCCCCGTGATCCAATTAAACTCATTCTTATACATATAGTTTATATTGTATAATATATATATATATATACACATAGTTGTGGTCCTGATCACCACCAATACTATTATGGCAAGAGACGTGGCCCGTCTATAGCAGAGGCAACCACCACATCACCCAGGTCAATGGTCTTCAAAAACAGCTATCTGCACCCTCATCATCCCTCATCCAAGTACGACACACCTGCAGTACCCTCCAGTTCTGCTCAGGAGCCGGTACAGCTGTTCATGGAACTTGTGCCTGCTTTCAGTTGTTGGTGTTACCTGGCAGTGGGCTTTCGCATACAGGGATCCTTCATATTTCTACGCCTGCACAAAGAATGCCAAACACTTGCTCACGTTCATGTCTTTCATTTACAGTAATTATCATCTGTTTCGATTCGTGCCCTGAGCCGGAAGCAACCCGCCAGCAAGGCAATGGACACACGGCCCTTGACTTCTTCCATCTTTGGCTTCGACCGAGACTTCGTCCGAATCTGCCTCGGGTGGACGGCACCACCCGAGCAAAACCTGCCACGAGCACTCACAGGTTGATTCGCTGAAGACATGTCAACCAAGAAACCATTATTTGGACAAATTGGGATTTGAGAGGATGGTGATACTCAATTGAGACTTCCAGTACAGGGCCTGAAAAGTTGAGAGACTTTCAAAAGGTGAGACTCAAGCAGTGCTAGTACAAAGGCTTTCGGAGGTTCACTTCATGGAACTGCTCTTGGTGGTTCTATGCACTAGGCCAGTAGGATGCCATTGCTTTCTGTGGGCTACGCTGCCTCTGTAGCTGCATCAGCAAGCTGATGTATAAGAAAAGATATATCAGTGAATATAAGTGACTCAATGACTGGGGCAGGAATTAAATAGAGCACATCTAAATCCATGTCCAGGTGCCACAACTTCCGGGCACTTCATGAACGGTGACGAGGAACCACATGGAACACTCTCGCTCATCCCAATCCAAGGCTTCTTGCGGCAGTGGTGTCCTTGGAATGCGATACAGCCGGAGCGCCTTCTTGAGGCAACACATCTCGGTGCTGGTATGAGGCTTTAAACATTATAGTCCGATGTCCAAAGCATTCAAATAAACACACTTGCCATGATGCAGTTGATGATATAAACTTACACCGAGACCGCATAAGTTCTTTTGTGATCTCCAATGCCTCACCTCACAGCCGGCTACTGGGGCAGCTAAGAGTCACATCGCGACCCATGGAAGACTTGGCCTTCACCTCGCGAGCTTTCAATATTTCGCCCACTTCCACCATCCTTAGCTAATGAGGATCCAGCAATGTCAAACAAGGGGAAGAAGGAAGGGAGATCTCAGAAACAGCAGCAATCATTCAGAAGAAAATATATAGAGGAAGTGAAACACACTTCTCTGCCTGCAATGGACTAAGTTGAAACAAGTATCACCTCCTAGCTTTAGTTTCACCCTTGGTTCGCTGGAAAGCTTGTAGGCGAATGTTTCGCAGTACCATTGAACCTTTGAGAAACACAAGTGCCTTTCCATGCTACAAAAAGCTCACGCCTGTACACCTGCTGGTAAATCTATGAAACCCCATCCTGAGGGAAAGTCGAGTGTCTGATGTTCAGTATGGTGACAGCCACAACGCCTGCATCTCAGCCTCCCTGGAGAGTTCAAGCCCCATCGGAAGGGAACGTAGCACCTGTGCAGCTTCAAGAAACGAGCGAGAGTCGGAATACATATTTAGTTACACATATTTAAGTAGAATATGAGGTTTGGACCAACAAAAGGAAGAAAAACATCTTCTCTCACATAGACACCACGTCTAGATTCCGGTCTAACTGTTACTGCAGAAGTATATAGCCGGTAACATGTCTTTATCGAAATGGGTGCTGTTGATAAAATCGATTGCGCCGTAGATGTCGCTTCATTGTATAGTAAATGTCGTGCCATGAGCATACGAGCAGTCATGGGCCAACCCCAAGCGGATGAGCATGATGCGTACCTGTTCGTGCCTGACAACTTCAGTTTGTTTACACCTGTTCACGTGTTAAGCGCACGGTGATCAATAACTTCAAATGAGCAACATTCAATCGCTCAGGTGGGTTGGTGAACTTCCAGCTGCCCCATCCAAAGTATTCCAAAGTGGGGTAGGGGGGCCGAGCATGGTTTTTTCAAATCTGTGCGACTTCGTGCATGACCCAAGTTGCAGCCCCCCCTACTAATAAGTTCTTGTTGCATACCACTGATCACAAACCAGCTGGTGTAGCAACAGAGGTGGCGTGTGCGTGCGGGATGGAAACCAGGAGCTGTGAGTGCTGCGAGTGACCTGTAGATCTATATCTACATAGTTCAATGTTCTATATCAGCTGTAGTCACACATCCGGCACCGCAGGTGAAAGGATCTGATTCAACTTTTGCCGACAGCGTCAACCAGTTCGCCGAACATCAAAGCTCAGACAAGACACGCGCAAGGGCAATTGTTGCAATTCATGCCTCGTCAACGTGCTTGGGCGGTTTAAAGTGAGCACAAACTTTGCTCGATCACTAAAACCATGAATCCCACCCCAGTAGAACTTGACTGCTGACAGAACTTCCAAAACCAATTTTGTTGGCCCCTCATTAAGCAAAGGCAAGCTTCGCGGCATGTTCATTGGATCCAAATTCCCTAGGTCCTTGTCCCGTGTCTTTGGACTCAAGGTGATTGCTCTGGTCCATGGGCTGTAGACTTCCTTGCCCACCTGCAATTTGCCGACGACCCTCACCAAGAAGCTCCTTCCTTCCGGCATGTTTTGAATCGAGCCAGATGTATCACGACCCATATTCACCCGCTTCACTGTGGCATCCTTGGCCGGCTTCAGATCCTTGTCGTTCGAAGGCTTCCCGCTGGCACCACGGTCTAGGACCATCTCAAGAAAAAACTCCCGACATGTCTCAGTGGTGGTCCACTTCAGCTCCTCGGCTTGGATCAACAAGCAGCCAGGAGGTTGAAGGATGTTGGAGGCCATCGCTACTAGGGTGGAGGCCATCGCTACTAGGAACAAGAAGCTACTAGTAACAAGGGCATCGCTACTAGTAAGCAGGGCATTACTACGTGTAGCTAGAAGCTACTAGTAGCGATGCCCTTGTTACTAGTAGCTATACCGTACTGTATATAGATGTTTAATGAAAATTACAAGGCTAAGGTGTCAAAGCCTCCCCAACAAACAAAAATGAAGGATGTTCATCGTCTTTCTGATGGGAATGCTCTACCGAGACTCCAGGCATTCTTCAAACTGCTCTCCAATTTCTACCTGACCACACAAGTGATGATAGTGGCCTGACATCTACTACAGCTAGGCAGCTAGGCAGTAATTTCAAAATGTTACATACATATATATTATATATATGCCTGACAATCTCCTCGGGTATGTCAGAAAAGCCTTCGTGAAGCAGGTACCACGCCTGAATGTCCAAGTCCGCAGCATCTGTAGAGGTTCCAGCTTTGGCCTTTGCAGCCGTGGTCGCTCCACGTCTTGCTTCAGGCGCTCCCACTGGCTGCATTTGCCTGTTGCTTCGGTTCCAAAGGCCTACGAAGCATGAAATGCATCTACAATCAAGCCATGGCCAGCAGAACGCAGTGGCAATCCTACGACGTCCTACGACATGTTCTAGAATGTCCAGTGTCAAAGGGCTGATGCTGCCATCCCTTTGACAACTCTTGGGGCATGCGACGTCAAAAGTCAGAACCATTGCTGCAGTATACATGTAAGCAAGTGATTCGATATGATTCGATGTTTGGAACTGCTCAAGAGGCTATGAATCCTTCACAATTCTGTTGACGTGACATGACGTGACTATGCTGTGTCATCTGAGCAGCAAATGTGCAAAGGCAAGCCGGCCACTTGGCTCAAAGGTGTCTGATCAATGAAGAGCAAGTCTGCCTCCCAATATTATGTCAATGGCCCAATGTCAACACTTGATTGAGTTACTCAAACAAATAGTGGGAATGGGCCACGTCCAAATGGACTTGGCATGTTGAAGCTGCAAAAGGAAGTGCAAAGTAGCATCCTGGATCCAGCAGACATTCGCGCACCACTTCAGGGGGCATGCACTCATGCGCACCTTGATCTTAAGCATGTTCGGCGAGCGTGACTGTGGGGACAAGAGCAGTTCAATCAGTTTGATCACTGGAAGGCCAAAGGGGCAAGGCATGTGAATGTGAATGCCTTAGCTTGAGTCTGGGAGCTAAGGTCAGCCTTGGACCAAGGCGCCACACTGGAGGGTCACTGGAGGGTCCGTGACTTAGAGACGTTCGGATCGGACAACCCGTTAATGACACTGATCCACACGGCAACCACAAGTCACTTGACTGGCATTCACGACAAAGGTACCTGCTTCGTCGAATCAAAGAAGTAGTGCATCACAATATGGACCATGGTATAGTATAGACAAAGCGGCTCTTATTTCCAACAAGGCACTGGTTTCAAGACATGAATGTTCATGTCAAAGAAATTGTTTCGCAAACAGGCTGTAATTAATGGAGAAACCCAAGGCCGCACTGAAAGAGCTTCGATAACCACCCGATTGAAACTGAAACTGTTGCATCAAAAACATAAAAAAATATAGCACCCAGGCGTTTGCAGCTCAAACCGTTCAACTTCGTACCTTTCATGGCC